TTTTACATGCTTTCGAACTGCTAGGTTGGCAGGAGCTGGGACTAGCGACGGGCGCTCACCCCGTCGTGTGGATTCGGTCTTACAGCTGAAGATCTATAGACCTTACAGCACAGAGTTTTCTGTGGTTTAACCCGCAGCGCCACCATGTCCCTTAACTTATCTAGGGAACCTTAAATCAAGTTGGTTTAATGTCAAGAATCTGTTTAATCTCCTGAAACATACACAGTTAATCAACAACACCTCCCCCACACACACATATTGGGCAACAACCTTATTAAAAGTCCTATAACAAGCCTTCTGCTGAGGGCAGCATCTGACAATAGGACAGAAATAATCTAATTTTTTAAAAAAACTGCAGCCTGTTCAGGCCCCTCTTAAGAGCAGGCTGCATGAGAGAGGGGATGGCAGAGAGAGAGAGAGAGTTAAAGAAGGAGGTGGCAGAGACAGAGAAAAGAGAGGGTTGTGTTGTGTGTGTGTGAAGGAGGGTTGCACAGAGTGTGAGGAGTGGTCATGCAGTCTTTGAGGGAACGCTGTCTTTCCCAGAGAAGTTCTTGTCTATGCCTTACATGGTGGGCACAAGGCTTCCAAATTATTTTTGTGTGTGAAACTTGGTGAAAATATATACATGTGTTGATATTTAATGAGAGAGATATATAATACTTAAATGTTTTGTTAGTTTTGTTTTTAATTTAATTTCTAGCTATGTTATTGTTATTTCATGTTGTTGTTTTTCTGTTGTAAACTGTCCAGAATGGCCTTTGGCCAGATGGGCAATATAGAAATCAAATAAATAAGTTAATAAGCACCATATTTTTCCATGTATACGACGCCCCCATGTACGTATAAGACTTTCTAACCCAAAATTAAGAAATCTAAGTGGGGCTCAGCAAGTATAGGGGAGAATGGATCAAAGCCCTGCAGGATCACCTTGAACCCTGCTTTTTCCTCCACTTGTTTTTGTTCTCTCCTAAGCTTACATCCATGTAGAAGACGACCCTCAATTTTTAGTCTAAGGATTTTAGACAAAAGTCTTATATATGGAAAATACGGTAGTTAAGGTGGTGATGGTGAGGAAGAGCAGCAACAGGAGACTGGCTAGCCTGTCATGTCGCTGCATGGATGGGGAAAACAGCTTAATGGCCCGAATGCTGGCGCAGAATTGAAAACCCCAACCTTAGCTTGCAGCTCAGTTTTCCTCTCTTGATGTGAAGTTGGCTTGTTTTGCAGACTATTCCTGTGGCCCTGGATGGCAAGGATGTGGTTGCCATGGCGAGGACAGGGAGCGGAAAGACGGCCTGCTTCCTCATCCCCATGTTCGAGAAACTGAAGGCCCGTAGTGCCAAAACCGGGGCACGCGCCCTCATCCTTTCACCCACCCGGGAGCTTGCTCTGCAGACCCTCAAGTTCACAAAGGAGGTACGCCAGGGATTTGGGGGGAGAGGGTCTGGGGCTCAAGTAAAAGATGGAAATCTTTCACAGCTGCTCTTAATGACATACCAGTTATCTGAAACGGTAGAGAACCCCAGATCCTTTGTAGTCAACCGCTGGAACAGACTGGCACAAGATTTTGTTGCAAGAATAACAATACTATTTAATGGCACAAAACTTAATATGTTGTATAGATGCTAAACATTCCCATGTGTATAAAAACGTCTTGAATGTCTGTTAGCTTATTTGTTCACTTAAAAAAAGGTACTTGATGGTCTTTGAGCCCACAGTGCTTGAACTGGTTAATTGTCTTTTTTTTTTTAATGGATGGAGGAACTTGTGGCCCTTCAGATGCTTTGGCCTTCATTTACCAGAATTCGTTGCCGTTCATCATGTGCGGTGTAGCTGATGGAAGCTGGGTGTGTGTGTCTAAAACATCTGGAGGAATGGTTCCCAACCTTGGGGGTCCCCAGATGTTGGACTACAGCCCCCCAGAAGCCTTCACCACTAGCTATGCTGGCCAGGGTTTCTGGGAGTTATAGTTCAAGAACTTCTGGAGGACACTCAAGTTTGGGCACCACTGAATTTTGGAGAGCCATCGCTTCCCCACTCTTCTAAAATATATCAGTGCAATAAAAATGTTAGCAAAGTAAATAACCAGAAGAGAGAGACCCGTCAGGAAATCAGCCCAAGAGCTGTGTCGATCGTTCTCCATCCGCTCAGCAGGGGATATCTTTAGGTCCAAGTTTTTGGACCTGAGTCTCGAGTCGTTTGGCCTGCCCCATCCTCAGGGGCCACAGGCCTGGAGGGAAAGCCGGGTGGACACATGCATAGATAGCAGGCCAACCCCTCTCCCCAGAGCTGGCGCCAGTCTCTGCGCATGCGCCAGCCTATCAGCTGGGCAGCGGGTGGGTGGGTGGAGGCCCCAGCCGGCTCCTGGAAGGGAATCCAGGCCTCTGAGGATGGTGGTGGCCAGAGCAGGTAAGGAGACACATCCACTGGTTGTTGTGCGTTTTTTGGGTTCTTTGGCCGTATTCTGAAGGTTGTTCTTCCTAACGTTTTGACAGTCTCTGTGGCCGGCCTCTTCAGAGCACTGGAGTGAGAACTCTGTCTGTGTTCTGGTGTAGTGTGTTGGATAGTTAGGTATTTGTAGCTGTGGAATCAGCTTTTTGTCCTTTTCAAGAGATTGGGTGATTATGGTGATCAGGGCGTTTTTTGTTATGACAATGCCGGCCACAGAGACTGGCGAAACATTAGGAAGAACAATCTTCGGAACACGGCCAAAGAGCCTAAAAACCCCACAACAACCATTAGATCGTGGCCGTGAAAGCCTTCGCAAATAGATCCATCCACGTTAGGGACTCGAAAAGTAACTTGGAAAAATGTTTCTGAGTCGGGAGCTGAGTCCAAATCTTCTTAAAAAGGACCCAAGTCAAGTCACTGGTGGGATTTAGGTTGGATTAGGTTGGTGAGTGTGACTCGGGAGTCCCCATCCCTGCCACGACGCAGACCTATTTCTTTTCTCACAAGGTCTGTACCAATGTTCCTCCCATCAGGATAGAAATGGGCTGGTAGATGCTCTTGGTGGAGAACCATCAAGTCGGACAAGGTTGATGCCATTGGTCAGGAGGGCGTGCACTTTGGGGTCCCAGGCTTTGGATGCAGGAGGTCTCAAGGGTCCATCCCTAACGTCTGCAGTTGAAACGGAGCCCACAGGCGCTGTTTGTGGGTGGCACAAGAACCATTCCTCCAATTTGCATGCTAATGACAGTAGCAGAAGAAGCAGGAGCCAAGCATTGATTGGTATATTTCATCCTTGAATATTGGTTATCAGACCACACTTCTACCCCACCCACCCTTTTTTTTTTGAGGGGGGCAACCTTATCCACCCTTCTACAAAAACAAAGCACCCAAATCTTGCTGCTCAGTGTAGGAAATCACACTAGAGTAGACCCATTGAATCAATGAGTAGTTGGTGAGTCAGGTCCTCTGTTTGTTCCCTTGACTCCAGTGGGCCCACAGGGTTTTGACAGGTGCTTACTAGAGAAATACATTGTGATAGGAAAGGCAGTAGAATATCCCAATTCTAAGGTGGAGATTCAAGAAGTCACGGCTTCCCTCTCCACTCTCAAGGAAGAAAAGCAAGAGGTTTCCTCTGTCCGTTCTCAGAGAGGGTACAGAAGGAAATGTGAGTCTAAAAGAAGTGACAACAGCAACCTTAAGAGCATCGGGCTAGGGTGAAGGAAGGCCAGCCTCAGCCAAAGCAGGTAAAGGAGAGTCTTGAGAGACCAGAGGCGATCCTCTCTCTGTCCTCGATACAACATCTTCTGTGTAAGCTGAGTTCTGGCCGCCGCCTTCGACAGACCGAGCGCCAGAGCTTAACTCTGCTTTCTTTCGTCCCACAGCTTGGCCGGTTCACAGGTTTGAAAACAGCCCTGATTCTGGGAGGAGACAAGTAAGTTTATTCGAAGTAGGGATTGGGGGGATATTGTGCCCGTAAGAAGTCTGCATCCCTCACTGTGGGCTCAGATGAAGATCCCACACACCCCTAACATTTTTTTTTCCAAAAATAGTTTTTGAAAAGAAAAAAAAAAGTGAGTGGGCTTACAAAATCCCTTGTGCTCTCTAAGGAGGATTATGGAACAGTATAGTCATGGTTATTGCAGGAGGGGCACATATATCTTTGTAAAAACACATATATCTTTGGCCCTTCTAGGACAGAAGCAGGATTTTTGAGTTTAAATAAACAAAATCTGTATCCGAAAAGGGGAGTGGGAGGTTGCAAGAGAAGGGGGGGCTTTAAGGTCTAGGGATAGGCATATGTGGCCCCCCAAACGTCTGGAGCTTGCCACCTCTGCCTTAAAGAGAGATGGGGACCTTAGGCTCTGCCAGGTGTTGCTGCACTGCAGCCCCCATCATCCCTCATCATCGTTTCTTCTGGCTGGGGTTGATGGGAGTTGCAGTCCATGAGCATCTGAAAAGTGGCTGTTTGCCCATCTCTCTTACAATAATTTACTGAATACATGTTCAGACTATTTCAGATACAGTAAACGTTAACAAAAACAGCAGCAAATACTCCGATCTTAAAACTTGACAAGATTATTGTTGTGAACTGGCAGTTTATATTCATTTAATTAAAATATTTTAACCCACCTTTCTCCTTAAAAAGGACCCAAGGCAGCATATAACCGTTAAAAGACGTTATTTAAGCTAGCTGCAGTGAATATACCGTACAAATAAAGATAAAATGACTGTTATAATAATAGTACATAAGCAACACCGAAACCTGTTTAATGCAGTAAGATACAAGTTTGCCTAAAGAGAACGGTCATTGCCTTCTTGCGGAAGGAGAACAAAGATGGGGCCAGGGTGGCCGCCCTCCAGTGGGAGGGAGTTCCAAAGTCTGGGAGCACCGATGGAGAAGGCCCTCTCTTGCGTCCTCCCCAAATGCACCTGTGAAGGTGATGGGACCAAGGGCAAGGCCTCTCCTCGTGAGCTTAATCCTGGAGTAGGCTCATCGAGGGAGATGTGGTCCTTGAGATCGTTGGGCCCATCCCGTTTAGGGCTTTATAGGTCCCTAGACATCATTGCCAAAATGGAGGCCACGGGTGTCCCCCGGCTTTGCTGGCACAGAGGGTCTGGCTGTGGAAAGAACTGTTCATCTCCCCTCCCCCACAAATCCACGTCATTCCTGCCTCAGAGAAGCAGGCCCCGAGTCAAGCAGGCGTGTCTGTCTCAAGTCGGAACTGACTTAGGTGACTCTACCTGGGGCCTCCTTGACAGGGGCTGGGCGTGATGATCCATGCGCTCCCTTCCAACTCTGCAGTTCTACTCTGATGATGATTAGGATTATTAATAAGGTTTTCAAAGCAGATGAAATGTTTAACGAGTGTGTCTACCACTGCCACACCCATCCGTTAAAGCAGTTACTAAGGAAGCATAAATAATGGGTTTTGATGGATGGGTGTCCTGCATAGGTCGTCCTTCACTCCCATTTATCCCAGACAGCCTCATGGAATTCTTCCAGTTTATTTGCTGTTGCACCTCTCCCTCCCCCACAACTGGAGCCCTATTTGGGGCAGGGAGGGACCCGTGTGTGCAGTGGTTCCCAACCTTGGGCCTCCAGATGTTCTTGGACTACAACTCCCAGAAGCCTTCACCACCACCTCTGCTGTGCTGGCCATCTGGAAGTCCGAGAACATCTGGAGGCCAAAGGTTGGGGATCACTGTGTTAGAGCACTGGGTTACTCAGGAGTTTTGGACTCTAACTCCCAGAAGCCTTCACCATCAGCTGTCCTGACTGGGGTTTCTGGGAGTTGCAGTTCAAAAGCATCCCAGTAACAAAGGTTAAGAACCACTGTGTTAGAGGACCCAGGGATGCGGTTCTGTCTGATGGTGTTTCCTTTGCGTTTCTCTGCGTCCAGACACAGATTGAGGTTCTCTTTCCACCCGAGGGCTTGGGGGGAAGTTCTCGGGAACCTGGAAGTCCATTAAGGGAAGGGGGTGCCGCCCTCTGGGAATCCCAGAGGGTCAGATTCAGCCCGAGGGCCTGAGGTTTCCTATCCTTGGCCCTAAACCACGTTGTCTTCAGAACAGACACAGGCTATTTGTCTTTGTATCCCCAGAGATACGAATAGAAATAGCCCAGGTCTACATACTTCCGAGTATGGATCACCTTCAGGGGTGGTGGAAAGGAGGGCTATTTTGATTTTTTTCTTTTCTAGGATGGAAGAGCAGTTTGCAGCTCTGCATGAAAACCCTGATATGTAAGTTTGAAAACGTGGGCCAGTGGGATCTGCGCTGGGATGGGGGAGGCTCTGAGTAGGAACAGACCCTTGAGGGTCAGGCTTGGGTTGTACTGCTGGGGGGTCTGTCTGTTTGAACCCTCACCCTCCTTGCGCCCTTCCAGAGGATAAACGGCACAAGTCTTTCCCACGCAGTTGGTTTCTTGCTTTACGATGCTGGCACAGAAGTTACTTTTCCACCTCTGCTCCGCTACATAAAGGTGGAGATGCCCTGGCAACAGCTGCTTAGTTGAAAGCTAAAGGGGACATTAAACAAGGGCAGGTCACATTGCACGTTAGACACAGTGGACTGGATCTGTCGCGAGTCCCAATAACCATGGAGCTGCCCACTTGTCTTGAGACTGATCCTCATGGCACAGTGGTTAAACTGAAATATTGCAGCCAGGGCTCTGCCCATGACTTGGTTCAATCCTAGGTAGCCGGCTCAAGGTTCACTCCACCTTCCATCCTTCCGAGATCAGTAAATTGAATACCCAGCTTTCTGGACAACGGGGAAAGAATGTGTACCCTGCATAATTAAACTTTAAACTGTCCAGAGAATGCTTTAAGCACTGTGGGGCAATATATGAGCACCACACCATTGCTTTTTGCTTTATCTGTGGACTGCCAGGACCTGCTTGCAGTCACCCTTCAGTGTTTCCAGGGACGGACATGGGACTAGTCCTCATGAAAGGTGGCCAACCTCTGTCTAAGTTGTCCTACTTCAGACCACAGGTATGGGCTCATGTGGTGAACCGAGATGGGCGAGGGCCCTCCACACCCATAGGCCAAAATCCTGTTTGGGTGCAGCAGCAATCATCCTGTCAGTTTCCCCCCTCTGGCTTGCTGTCCATCACATGGCAGGGCCCACAACCAGGCATGTGCTAATATGTGCATCTAGTGGGTGCAGGGGACGGAGATGAGTGGGTGTCTGAAGAGTAGAAATGGATGCACACTTGGCCTTAATGCAAGGCAGCAGGGCTTTGCCGGCAGGAGAACCATAGGAAAGGAAAGGGTACCAGCCTCACCTTCTCCCTGGGGTGTTGGGTGTGCTTTGTGCAGGCAGCATCTTTTGGAAAGCCTTCAGGCATGAGCTTATGCAGTGGAGCCGTCCAGACCCAAGTATGAGACCCCAGTGAGGACTAGGACTGTGGGATTTAACAGTGATGGCTGACCTTCTGATAATGTACAGTGGTGCCTCGCATAGCGAGGTTAATTCGTTCCGGATTAACCTTCGCTATAGCGAAACATCGCTAAACGGAATTTTAAAAGCCATAGAAACGCATTGAACTTTGTTCAATGCGTTCCTATGGCTATAAAACACACCGTTAAGCGATGTTCCTCCATAGCGCCGCCATTTTCGCGCCCTCGGTAAGCGAGGGCAGGGCGCGAAAATGCGGCGCGGACCTTCTGGCGGCCATTTTGGAACCGCCAATCAGCTGTTCTCCCCCACTTCGTTATGCGATATTCGCTAAGCGAATCGCTTAGCGAATATCGCAAAGCGAAAAAACGCCATAGGGGCCATCGCTGAGCGAATGCTCCAGCGATGGCCCAGAGCCCCTCATTAAGCGATTTCATCGCTCAGCGAGGCACCACTGTATCTTCTTTGTAGCCAGACAGTTGGGTGATGCGCTCTCTCTTTCTGGCCAGAAGTATTCATTGTTTCTCTCTCTCTCTCCCTCTCCCTCCCCCCTAACTTTGCTTTGACCTCAGAATCATCGCCACTCCTGGCCGGCTGGTGCACGTTGCAGTGGAGATGAAGCTGAAGCTGCAGAGCGTGGAATACGTGGTCTTTGATGAAGCCGACAGGTTGGCTTTTGGTCCTGGATGGATTTTTGAGGGGGTGGGGGACTCATTTTCCTGTTGGCTGGCAGATCCAGGATGGTTTCGCTCTTTCATACGCGAATGGGAGGGTCAGAAAGATCTTCGTTACTGAGTGGTTTAATGGAAACAGTTTCTTGCAGTCCTTTAACGTCCCCGTGTTTATACTCCCAGTTTGAAGAGAAGAAAAAGTAATCCAAGTTCTCAATGCAATCTGGGTCAGTGATTTCCACTTGCATGGAAAGGGCTACAGCCCAGGACGGTGTATCTTAGTATTTATTAAGGTGGCACAAATGGGATACAGTGGTGCCTCGCAAGATGTTAATTCCATCCGCGAAAATCGCTGTCTTGTGAAAACATTGTCTTGCGAAATGCGATTCCCCATTGGAATGCATTGAAATCCATTTAATGCATTCCAATGGAAAAATCGTCGTCTTGCGAAAATCGTCCATAGGAAACGTTGTCTTGCAAAACGCGGTTCCCCATTGGAATGCATTGAAATCTATTTAATGCGTTCCAATCGGGGAAAAAAACGTTGTTTTGCGAAAATCGTCCATAGGAAACCATCGTCTTGCGAAGCACAACAGTGATCGCAAAAACTAATCGTCTTGCAGATTAATCGTTTTGCAAGGTAATCGTCTTGCAAGGCACCACTGTATTTGTTTGTGTGTGTGTAAATCACATAAATCAAGCACCTTTACTTGCTTTGTGTAACTTCATATTTTCATTGGTATATTTTGTGTTGTTGTCAACTAAAGGGGAGGCCTAGGGAACTGGGAAAGACGCCTGAACCTGATGACCCCCGTCAGTTGGAGATCTGACTTGGCTTCTAGGTGCTTTGCACACTTCAGGACAAGATCCTGGATTTGTGGGTGGTTTCCTTTTCCTGCCTCTGTCCATGGCTCATCTCACCCCCCCTGTTTTGTGCTTCCCTGCCAGGCTTTTCGAGATGGGCTTTGCCGAGCAGCTGAAAGAGATCCTCGCCAGGCTGCCCGAGAACCGCCAGACGCTGCTCTTCTCGGCCACTTTGCCGAAGCTCCTTGTGGAATTTGCCCGAGCAGGTGAGGAAGGAGCGGGTGTTGGGTGCAGAATGGAAGCCCCCTCGAGGCCGCCCCTTTCGGGAGTGGGTGGGTTGTCCTCCGTGACCCTTCCACAAATAGGATGCTGTTCTGTGGCGTGATGCTAACCCCACCTTTTCTCCTCCTGTACGCACCCCAATACTGGCTCTTTAGCCTCCTGGAAAGCTTGTCTGCTCTGTCCGGCCCAGAAAGCCTTGGAAAAGGAGGAGTGGAGCTTAGCACAAAGGTTATGGGCAACGCTGGGCTGGGCTGGGCTGGGCTGGCATGCCTCCATGGGAACCTTTAGCTGCCCAGGTAGCTTGGATTTCATTGCCCAGAAGCCCTGCCCTACGCAGCCAGTGCTGGTGGGTTTGTGGGAGTTGCAGCTAAAGGCCTCAGGCAGACCAAATGCCAGACAGTGAGGGCTGTGCCTGATTTAGCCAAACATGGACTTTCCACATCCCAGCCAAATACTCTTGCCTTCATGCTGCCCTAAAAGGCAGAGCTGAAAGGTTGTTCTTGAAAAAGTGCTTGTCAATTGACATCCTGGGGCAGGGAGTTCCACAGATAGGGTGTCTCTCCAGGAAAAGGTCCCCATTCATATGTTCTCAGAGCTTTATGTCCTGAAAGGCAGTGGAGCCGAAAGGACAAGCTGGTGCAAGGGGGTAGGAGCCTGTCTCTTGCAAATTCTACTGTTCCTGTTTTCTTTTGTATTCTCTTATTTCATTCTAAAATAGGATATGCGCTTATACTTTTCTGCCCCCAACCCCACCCCACCTCTCCCCTTCCCCAGGGCTTACGGAGCCTGTGTTGATCCGTCTGGATGTGGAGTCCAAGCTGAGTGAGCAGCTCAAGGTGAGGGAAGCCCGCAACCCTTTGGAAGAGCTGGTTTGGGGTTAGGGGGATGGTGCTGAGGACCAGTCCCATAACTAGGTGGAGTTGTTGTTGTTTAAAAAATTCAGCCTTGGGGAAGGAATCAGTAACTGTGTGTGAAAACCAGGAGTACCTGATCATTGTGCCAAGGGACTGGAGAAATGTTGAACTTGAAGGCATTTTTTTTGGGGGGGGGGCTCCAGGGTGACCCCTGAAAACGGGTCGTGGTGGGTGGGCAAAGATTCCCCAGCCCCCCAAGCAGTCGAATGCTTCCCAAACTGCAGGCTAAAATGGGGACTGTCGTCCAACATGGCCTTGGGAGTACAAGTTTCCATGAGGTGGGGCGAAGTCCTTCCAGGCAAAGGCAGACCCCTAACTTGTGCAGGAGTTGTTAAATCCAGAGAGGCATTGTGTGTCCCTCCAGAGGCATTTCCTCATGACTCCCCTCAGCCTAGCCAGGATCGTTGCCAGTGAGGGATAATGGAAATCACAGCCCAAAAACATCCAGGGGAGGGGGCCCACGTGGTACATCCTTACACTAATAAGCGACACTTATAATCTCCCTCTTCCCTCGGCAGCTTTCCTTCTATCACGTGCGTCCGGATGACAAGCCGGCTCTCCTGCTGTATCTACTGAGGACGGTGGTCAAGCCCCAGGAGCAGACGATCGTGTTTGTAGCCACCAAACATCACGCAGAGTACCTGAAAGAGGTGTGTGAAAGTTCCCAGATCGATCTTCCGACAGGTGGGGCGGTCCAGGAGAGGAGCGGGAGCCCTTCTCCCCGGGGACACTGGGGTGGTGCGGCCTCGCTTCGGATCCCTTCTAGTTCAGACCTTATTTTCCCTTAAAGCCTTTATGGCTAGATCCCCTTTAGAGGTGAGGGTATTCGTATACAAATATCCCCCTACAGGTCCAGATAACAAGGGTCCAGCCCCCTGGGGGGGGTGGACCATCCACTCCCCCTTCCGCTGCTGCTGCGGGGGGAACCATCCACTCGCCCTTCTGCTGCTGCTGCAGGCTCCACGCACCCTTCCTGTCACTCCAGAGCGCTTGGTTGGCCAGCCATTCTTCGACCTGGCAAACACACTCCCTGTTGCTCCAGAGCGCTCGGTTGGCCAGCCATTCTTCGACCTGGCAAAGAGGCTCATCATCCCACCTTCTGCCAGGAGTGGTTAATCGTCCTCGAGCTCCGGAGTGATAGGAAGGGAGCGCGGAGCCCACGGTAGCAGCGGACAGTGAGTGGGGGGCTGGACCATCATTATCTCCACCTGTGGGGGGGATTCGTGTACATATACCCCCATGTCTAATCCACTTGTTAGTCCCAACAGAGTAAATCCATTGAGTCAACAAGACTTAGGGTTGACATAGGAAGTCCCATTGATTTGGTGAGTACATTCTAATTGGGACTAGCAGACATAGTCCTTAGCATGTATGTAGGTATGTACGTACATACGTATGTATTTTTATTTATTTATTTATTTTGCAGTTGAATTGTACAAGATTTGAGGTTTCTAAAGAAACCTTGTTGTTTAGTCGTTAAGTTGTGTCCGACTCTTCGTGACTCCATGGACCAGAGCACCCCAGGCCCTCCTGACTTCCATGGCCTCCCGGAGTTGGGTCACATTCATGTTGGTCGCTTCGGTGACACTGTCCCACCATCTCATTCTTTGTTGTCCCCTTCTCCTCTTGCCTTCACACTTTCCCAACATCAGGGTCTTTTCCAGGGAGTCTTCTCTTCTCATGAGATGGCCAAAGGATTGGAGCCTCAGCTTCAGGATCTGTCCTTCCAGTGAGCACTCAGGGTTGATTTCCTTCAAGATGGGTAGGTTTGTTCTCCTTGCAGTCCAGGGGACTCTCAAGAGTCTCCTCCAGCACCACATTTCAAAAGCATCAATTCTTTGGTGGTCAGCCTTCTTTATGGTCCAGCTCTCACTTCCATACATCGCTACAGGAAAAACCATAGCTTTTACTATGTGGACCTTTGTCGGCAAGGTGATGTCTCTGCTTTTTAAGATGCTGTCTAGGTTTGCTTTCCTCCCTAGAAGCAGGCGTCTTTTAATTTCGGAGCTGCTGTCGCCATCTGCAGTGATCATGGAGCCCAAAAAAGTAAAATCTGTCACTGCCTCCCTATCTTCCCCTTCTATTTGCCAGGAGGTGATGGGTCCGGTGGCCATGATCTTGACCTTCAGACCATTTTTGTGCTCTCTTTCACCCTCATTAAGAGGTTCTTTAATTCCTCCTCAGTTTCTGCCATCAGAGTGATATCATCTGCATATCTGAGGTTGTTGATATTTCTTCTGGCAATCTTAATTCCGGCTGGGGATTCATCCAGTCTGCTTCTTCTGCTTCACATTCATCTTCTGCTTCTGTGAGGTCCCTACCATTTTTGTCCTTTATCATGTCCATCTTTGTCCAAAAGATTCCTTTAACATCTCCAATTTTCTTGAATAGATCTCTGGTTTTTCCCTTTCTGTTCTTTTCCTCTATTTCTTTTCATTATTCATTTAAGAACACCCGCTTGTCTCTCCTTGCTATTCTTTGGAAGTCTGCATTCAATTCTCTGTAACTTTCCGTATCTCCTCTGCATTTTGTTTCCCTTCTCTTCTCTGCTATTTCTAAGGCTGCCTCCTGTACGATGTTACGAGCCTCTATCCAAAGTTCTTCAGGGACTCTGTCCACCAAGTCTAGTTCCTTAAATCTGTTCTTCACTTCCACTGTGTATTCATAAGGGATGTGGTTCAGATTATACCTGGCTAGCACAATGGTTTTTCCTACTTTCTTCAGTTTCAGCTTGAATTTTGCTATGAGAAGCTGATGATCAGAACCACAGTCAGCTCCAGGTCTTGTTTTTGCTGACTGTATAGAGCTTCTCCATCTTTGGCTGCAGAGAATATAATCAATCTGATTTCGGTATTGTCCATCTGGTGATGTCCATGTGTAAAAACGCCTCTTGTGTTGTTGGAAAAGAGTGTTTGTGAGGACCAGCCTTTGCCCTGCTTCGTTCTGAACTCCAAGGCCAAACTTGCCTGTTGTTCCTTTTATCTCTTGACTCCCTACTTTAGCATTCCAGTGGCCTAGAATGACAAGAACATCTTGTAACTTTTCATAGAATTGCTCAATTTCACCCTCTTCAGCATTGGTGGTTGGTGCATAAATTTTGATTACTGTGATGTTGAAAGGTCTGCTTTGGAAAGAAACCTAGTATCTTTTAAAAGCACATGAGTTAAAAAGGAGGTTTTGTGACACAGTCCTCTGATGTCTCTGCCGGAGGTTAGGAGAAAGCCCGGAAAAAACTAATTTTTGACCACAGCTCTCAGAATCCTTGGGGATTGGTTTAGAAAAGTAACTTTCCTAAGCTCCTACGTAGGTGAGAAATGCAAGCTTTAACCGGCTTTCCCTGAGCTTGCTAACATTGGGCCCACTCCGTTCCTGGATGTGTCCGCAGCTGTTGCTAGCACAGGGTGTGAACTGCACCCACGTCTACAGCTCCCTGGACCAAACGGCTCGCAAGATCAACATCGGCAAGTTTACGCACGGGAAGAGCTCGGTCCTGATCGTCACCGACTTGGCCGCCCGTGGTATCGACATCCCCTTGTTGGATAACGTCATCAACTACAGCTTTCCTGCCAAGCCGAAGCTGTTCCTCCACCGCGTGGGTGAGTTCTTGAGGTCGCGTTTCTTCTGCTGCTTTTCCCACCTCCGGTCCCTTGGTTGGTCTTTGGACCACCATCATCTGCTCTGGTTCTAAGGACTTTGGTAGACAGAAGAGCAACCCCTTAAAGCAATGTTCTTTAGAGACTCCTTTAGATTGAAATCTGAAGGGTTTATGATATTTAAAAAGAGGTTTCAGCAGTATTGTTGTCAAACTATGATTTGACTGCTCTTCAAATAATATTTTAATAATTTACTTTTTATAAGCTGAAGCAGGAGTTTGTATGCATGAAATGAGTAAGGTCCTGGCTTCAGACATGGATGCTTCCAGTCAGACAAAAAATAGGCAAAGACCACCCCCCATTTCAGAAGTTGCAGGACTGCATTTCCCAGCATTGCTCGCCAGTGGTTATGCTGGCTAGGGCTCATGGGAATTGCAGTCCAGCACTATCTGGAGGTCTGGATTTGGCCTGTCTCTGAAGTGGAACGATCAATGAGCAGGTGAGGAAGGGCCTAGCTGGTTTCCTTAGGATTTATCTATGCTCTGACTGTTTTATTGGATCCTTCGATCAGTGACTGAGGCCATGGACACACCAGCAAAATGCTTCCCAGTTCTTCCTCATTGTTTCGTTGTGTATGTGTTTGTTTGTGTGGTCAGATGATACACGGCCACTACAAATCCTTTGGTCTTCCTCCACATCAAATCCCGCCCATCATGAGGCTCCTACTTTTTTTTGTTCAGGAGTTTATCATGCAACAGTTTTACAGTGGTATCCTGTGTGCACAGCTGTACTGACACTTTTTCTGGCAGGCCACCAGTAATGTTGTTTTGCCCGTATGTCCCTTTAATTAAAAAAATTTAGGGAGTGGTGTGTCAATGGAGAATGTGTGTCATTCAGCCTCTGTGCTTCTCTTATTTGCAGCTCCTTCTACCCAGTGGTGCTCCTTCTCTTGACCCCTTTCATGTTTTCCTCTTGGGGAACTCGTGCTAGAGCTGCTATGAGAACAAAGCCTGACCACGAGTTTCTCTGCTGCAAGAGGCACAGACGTAGCAGAGAAACTCATACCCTTCAAGGAAATGTTGCCAAAACATCAGTGTAACTGATTTTTTTAAAAGGAGAAAAGGCCCCCAAAAAACATAACTAGCCTAGAGAGAAATATATCCAGTACTGAAGTGTAGTCATATCACATCGAATTTAGGGAAACGTTACATTAAATCAGAATCATATCAAAACACACACCCCAGGATGTAGGTCACATGCCTGCAGCAGTCAACTGCTCGGGGAGTAAAGGAAGTGAGAAAACAGGGTGACATTTCATAGGTGTGACCACCGCCTGAGTCATTAGATTCTGTTTCATTGAGATCTTTCTAGAACACTGCTTGTGGCAGGTGTTGGCAAAACATGGGCGTGCTCTCTCAGGCTCACCTGTTCCACCACTGGGGAAAGGGCAGTTTCCTTTTTAGCACAAGGTGCGCATGTCTTGTTTGAAAGCAAAAGGACACCCCGCAGTCAAGTTTTAAAGCTGTTCAGAACAGAAAGTTTGAACCATACAGAAGGTTTTTCAGCGCTTTGCGACCTCCAGAACATTAGTGTTTTCACATGGGGGAACCACAGCTCCCCATCACCCAAAACTCAGAATCGGAGCTAAAAATATCTGGCCACGTCTGAATTTATTATTTAAGTATTTCCAGCCTTGTTGTGCCCAATGTCGTGTTATGGAGAGAGTGATAGGCTAGGATTTCAGAGACCTGGGTTCAAATCTCTGCTCCACCATGGAAACTCACTAGGGTGGTGGATGGAACAGGTAAAAGCACTCCTTAAACATCTCACTTCCCTTGAAAGCCACATGAGAGCCATTACATGCCCATTCTGCCTTGATAGCGCATAATATATGGTTATCTCAGAAGTGCCTAGGTGGACGATTGGCGCCTAACCCCCAACAGAGATCAATCATATTTTTTTACACAGTTTGTTTCAAAAGCTGGACATTTCATCATATTTTCTTGGGATCCTTTCCCCATTCTGTGTGGGGATTGATGCCATTCATTTTTCCCATTACAGTGGTGCCTCACTAGACAGTTACCCTGCATGACAGTTTTTTCACTAGACATTGACTTTTTGCGATTGCTATAGCGATTCACAAAACAGTGATTCCTATGGGGGAATTTCGCTAAACAATGTTTGGTCCCTGCTGCGCAAACCCATTTTCACTAGACGACGATTTGCTTTTCGCTAGACAATGATTTCGCTAGACAGCGATTTCAGTGGAACGGATTGTCATCGTCTAGCAAGGCACCACTGTATTGTAATTTTTCTGCACCCCAGGTGGAGAGAAAATCTTAAATAATGTGTGTAAATCCTTCTGACGTTTTGACGTTTCTTTCCTCTTGCGATCCAGGCAGAGTGGCTCGGGCCGGGCGGAGCGGTACCGCTTACTCCCTTGTTGCACCAGACGAGACCCCTTATCTTTTTGACTTGCATCTGTTCCTGGGCCGTCCTCTCATTCTTGCCAGTCTCCATGAAAAGCCCACAGGTAAGGCGTCCGTCTTCTGGAGCGACAGCAGCAAAATCTCGTCCCCTCAAGTGCGTTGCAGGAGCAACTTACCAGTGACACAAATTGGAAGGCTGGAATCTTGTTGGTGTGTGCAATTATCATGTGACTTGTCATGGCTGACGATGAGGGGCTGGGCTTCTTTCCGAGGAATGGGTTTGTGACCAGTTTGGGAGCTGTAGGAGTGTCTTCAATAGAAATGTGTCTTGAAATGGTTTTGAAACATCTGCTTTTCCGTCAGTCTTAACATGCAGGCAGTAAAAACAAGGAACTGAGCAGTGGTTTTTTGTATGTTTGTTTTTAACCCTAGTGAGAATTCCAGTTTGTGGAGGATTATTCCCTCTAAGGAAATTTCTATTTCTCCTAAAGAAATTTCTATTTCCCCTGAGGAAATTTCTGTTTTTTCCCCCTCAGGTGGTACCAGCAGTTAGAATTGCCTCCTGGTTCGCTGAAAACCAGCATGAGCCCAACACTAATTTTGTCCCACTAGGTTACATGGGCTTAGACAGAAACAGGACTCCCAACAGGAAAAAAAAAAGAACAGATTTGCTGGAGCATTTTCTTTGGTCCTTCCTGTTCTTCGTGTGTCTGTGTGTCTGTGTGTATGTTTTAAACTGTTGATGAGTGGCTGCCATTTGAGGAACGGTTAGGATTGTGTGAACGATCGTGCTGCCAAATGCCTGCCTTGTCCATTTGAGGTCTCGTTCTGCATGGATTCAGCCACAGGATTGTGATTGGGGAGTCTAAAATGACCCGTCCCTAGTACATGAGCGTTCATCCTTTGCTCTCTCGCCTTGTATGAAATTGTTCTTCTCGTTCGTTACTGCGGCGGGCTTCCTCGAGTCCCCTGTAAACCCAATGAAGGGGTAAACCTCACAACGGGCCTCACCCGACCCACTGCTCTCCTGCTGTCTCAGACACAGACGGCGTCTTCGGCCGCGTGCCCCAGAGCGTCCTTGACGACGAGGAGAGCCTCCTGCAGACGGACCACGAGCGCTCGGAGGAGCTGCAGAACCTGCGCCGCATCTCCGAAAACGCCCAGAAGCAGTACCAGAAATCCCGTCCGGGGCCATCCCCCGAGTCCATCAAGAGGGTCAAGGAGATGGACTTCACCCAGCTGGGCATCCACCCTTTGTTCAGTGAGTGCAATTTTTTTTGCCAGGGTTGATGGGTTGTGGACAGGGTAAGGATGATGGAGATGTGAAGCAGGGGTGGGTGAACCCTGGTTTACTCGCTCTTGGGAGCTAACCAGTTCGTCACATTAGCGACCTCTGCCTTTTCTTTCTCTCTTTTCATTTTGTTTCTCCTTTCATTCCCCTTGCACTCCACGCGTCTTGTTAGGTTTGCGCTTCGAGGATGAGGAGATGGAGCGGCTGAAGTTTGTGGACAGCATTAAAACATACCGTTCCAAAGCTGTGAGTGTCATCATTAATAATGTATTGCTTAGTAGAGATGGGGCTTTACATTTTCTGAACTACAGAGACCATAATTCTCCATTCTCTGAGCTCTGTCTTGCTTACAGGCACCTTGCGAATGGCTGCGTGGGATGCCCCTGAAGGCTTTGAGGATTAGCTAGGCCTGGCTCTGGCCCAGTGCTAGCTGGGAGATTCCTTTCTGAACAGGAAGCTTAGGTAGAATTAGGCCTAGCTGTGCCTCAGGGCCTCCCAGTTGAGACCTTACTCCCAGGTGTATCACATTCGGGTATATGCAAGGTGCCAGAAAGTAGAATTTGCACTTCAGAAAATCCAAAAATCTTCCCCCAAAAAATACATTGTTGTGAGCTATCTTTGTAGTAATGCAGAAGATTTGGGTGCTGGCTGATTTAAATATTTAATCAAGAGCTATTAGCTTTGCAAAACATCTGCATGAAAAGCGCTAGAACTGGAGAATTGACAGGGATCAGCACAGTTGTTGCTTGTCTGAAAACTTTTGGGGGCTGTGACTTTGAAGGTTACAATGATTCCGTTTAAATCTTGCCACTGGTGCCACGTTAAACTAAGTCTTTAAGGTGGACCAAGGAGAGAGATCATCTGTGATCCATGTCAGAGTGCTGGACCCCCAGCAGCTGCTTTATGCTGACGATGGACCCAGGTAGACAACAGAGCTGCTGTTTTATTCTCTACAAGGCACCAGTTAGAAGAGCAAACGCAGGCTTTCTGTTACAAGCGTTGCTCGCGTGTTGTTGTTTTCATATTAGACCATCTTTGAAATCAATGCCACCAACAAGACTTTGGCCAGCGACGTCATGCGAGCCAAACGTCTTCGCGACCGGGTGTTAATTGACCGACACCAAAGGAAGCAGCAGGAAAAATTGTCCTTGGCGGCCGCCAAGGCCCCAATCCCGGCTGCACGGCCTGCTGCTACAGAAGAGGTGGAGGCGGAAGAGCATATTCAGGTACAGCTCACGACGACGTCTTGCATGCATTCTATGGTTTTGGTAAAAGTAGTCTGCAATCAGAAAAGCTGCGTCCTGCAGTCTGTTGATTATGGAAGTCAAAAGAAATTTGCACGAGCTTGCTTTGCATAACTTACGATCCTCTGTTGCTCGTGATGGGGATCAAAAGGCTATAGAGGGCAGTCAGTGTCCCCCTTTTAGATGGTTGGGAATCTGAGTTTCCTCCTGGTGTTTTTTTAATAATGAGGGGATGTGCGGTTCTCCTGCCTGTGACACTCCTCCCAGCAACTCCTGGAATGCAGCCCAGCAAAGTAAAAAGAAAAGTGTTGTGGTGCTCGTGGCAACCATCTTGGGAGACACGTCTGTGTGTTTGCAAGAGCACCGCCCGAGGAATGGCTTTATCTGAAGAGGCCGATGAACTCTTCATTCCTGGCAATCCGAGTTCTCTCACCTGCCTCAACTTCTCTGCCCCCAGGATGTCTTCTCCAGCATCGTAGGAGGGAAACGGAAACAAGCCCCAGCAGGGGAAAACACTGGCAAGAAGAGGAGGAAGGTCTCAGTGGAGCAGGACAAAGATTTCTACATCCCCTACCGGCCCAAGGATTTTGACTCCGAGCGGGGGTATGTGAGGGCAGGCGGGCCGGGACGTATTCGGTCCTTAAACTGAGCAGAGGGAAACTTGAAGGAAGGGACCGTGCAGAGCAGTGGCAGGGCAGTTTCATGTCCTGGTCTGGGCAGATGTAAAAAGGTTCTGGGGGCAACATACAGGGAAGTCCCGAGGCTATTGCAGGACTGCGTAGGCTCAGCTGGGTCATGTAGGCTAATGGTAGGACAGGGCAGCTTCCTGCGTTCTCAATTCCTGTCCCGTTCCCCCCAAAATCCAGACTCTGCATCGGTGGGGAAGGCAGCGCTTTTGAGCAGCAAGCCTCGGGAGCCGTCCTCGATCTGATGGGCGATGAGAATCAGAGCATGAACAAGAACAAACAGCTCCTGAAATGGTGAGTGCCTGTCGGAAAGCTCGTTTGTCCTGTTTTGCTTTTGCTTTGTTTCTCCCATTGTGGTGGTGGTGGTGGGGGGAAGACCTCAGGAACGTTACTTCTTGGGACTGCTGTCCGTCCAGCCGAGTAAGTTTTCCAAGTTCTCAACATGCATCCGTTCAGAAAACCTTTGGAAGTAAATAAGAATATTCTTAACAGAAGATTATGGTTTTTTAATTAATATCCTGTTCTTTCTCATGGGGACCCAGGGCAGCTACACCTCTGAATAGAAACTCAGTCTTCCTTTGCATTTTTTCAAATTGTTTGGCAGCTGGGCCTTAGTAGGTGAAAAACCCAAACAACTCAAGGAATTGTACAGTGGTGCCTCGCTTAACGAGCGCACGGTAGAACGACAAATCCGCATAGCGAGGGGGTTTTTTCGATCGCAACTGCGATCGCAAAGCGATGGCCCCAATGGGCAAAATTCGCATAGCGAAGGTCGGTAAGCGTTTCGCTTCCCGACCTTCACTTTGCGACCTGCGGATCAGCTGTTCGGCGGCTCCAAAATGGCCGCCGGAAGCCCCGAAATGGCCCCGTGCGGTGTTTTCGCGCCCTCGGTAAGCGAGGGGAGGGCGCGAAAATGGCTGCCAGCCATAGGAAAACATCGCTGAACGGTAAGTTTTCAGCCCATTTAGAACGCATTAAACGATGTTTAATGCATTCCAATGGGTTTTCTTGATCCATTCAGCGATGTTTTCACATAGTGACGGTTAATCCGGAACGGATTAACCTCGCTATGCGAGGCACCACTGTAGTTCATTGGGAAAGCTGCTGGTCTCAGCTACCATACAACTTGGCTGTCTACGCAGTTGAGATACATAGGACCAGAATACTCACCCTCCACCCTCCAGCTGGTGGAGATGTGAATGGGAGATGGACATTGTGGTCCAACACATCTAGAGGACTCGGGAAGATCTTTCTTCAGAGCATCTCTCTGCATTCATTCATTCATTCAATTCATTCATTCATTTTCATTCATTCATTCATTCATTCATTCATTCATTCATTTCCCACTTTTCTCCTTAAAAGGAGCCAAGGCAGTTTACATAATTAAAAGGACAATACTTAAATGTGAAAAACAATGTGTAGAAATATTTTAAAAGAATCCAAGTATTATATTTAAAATGTTAATTAAAATCAGTATTTAAAACACCTTTAAAAGCAACAGGGCACCTCAGATTTGGATAACGGGGATACCTCCCTAAAAAGACGGCGTTTACTCAGCTGTTTACCCAGATTCACGGTGGTCTGCTCTTCTCTCCATCCCCACTCATCTTTCTTCACACTCCAGGGACCGGAAAAAGAAGCGGTTCGTGGGCCAGACGGGCCAAGAAGACAAGAAGAAGATCCGCACAGAGAGCGGCGCCTACATCAGTAGCTCCTATAAAAGCAACCTGTATCCTTTCAGTTCTTGTGGGTCATGGGAAGCAGAGAGGGAGTGGTGTGTGATGCTAAAGGTAAAGGTAAAGGTTCCCCTTGACATTGAGTCCAGTCGTGTCTGACTCTAGGGTGCGGTAGTCACCTCCCGTTTCCAAGCCGTAGAGCCAGCGTTTGTCCATAGACAGTTTTCGTGGTCACGTGGCCAGCACGACTAGACACGGAATGGCGTGACCTTCCCACCAAGGTGGTACCTATTTATCGACTCGCATTTTACATGCTTTCAAATGGCTAGGTTGGCAGGAGCTGGGACAAGTGATGGGAGCTCACTCTGTTGTGTGGATTTGATCTTATGACGGCTGGTCTTCTGACCTTGCAGCCCAGAGGCTTCTGCGGTTTAACCCGCAGCGCCACCCCGTCCCTTTTTTGTGTGATGCTACCCAGCAATTATTTAGGGAATCCGTGCAGAAATGTCACACTGGTTCACTCTGCTGAGTGACAGTGTTGTCCTCCATAGTTTTCAAGATCCATGTGACGCACACCATCGCTGAGTCACAGCAGCTGTGGTTGCCTATGATTCGGCTATTATTTATCAAAGCAGAGTTAAAGGACCAAGAAACTTTATAGAGCATGCATGTGCTTTGGAATTGCATGGTTAGTTTCCCCCATCTAGTCTTCAGGAGGATGCGGGAAGGGCAGTGGGGTGTGCTCATGGCCACCATCATCCGTGATGCAAGTCGGAGTCTGTGTCCTTTCCTTCTTTCCCTGGCCAAATTACAGTGGAAGAGTTTCCATTCCTACTTCTGGTTTGCACTGGGGCTAGAATTCATAGTTGATGCGAAGCAATGGACCGTCTACTTTTTAAACACTATTAACATTTCAGTGTTCTAGCATTTGAATGGAATGAGCTCAACCGGATCCAGCCGAAGCCAGTATGCATCTACTCACACCTAGTTAATTTGAGACAGAAGGAGGAAAACATTCGTGGTAATAATGCTGTTCCTTCAAATCGTTTCTGACTTATGGGACAGGATCTGGGGGGAAAAGTCACCCGGGGGGGGGTTAGCCACACCCAACTCGCAGGACACAAAACCGGTGGGTGATTGGGAGCTTGGATGATGCCCCAGAAGGGAGGTCAGGATGGGTGAGAGAGTCAAAAAGGAGTGGAGATCCTCAAACACGTAAAGGTGAGCAGTGTCTCTGGAGGATGAGTATTGGCAATGTCGGTTAAAGAGAAGTGATAAAGGAAGAGGGAAGGATGCGTGATGAAGAAGGGAAAGCTGCTAGGTCTGGATTTCCCTGTTGTTTCTGAGATGGAGGGAAAGAAGGAGGTGGGGACGCTTTGCCTCAGAAAGACAAAGGTGGTCCCCAAAAATAAGACCAAGTCTGACGCTTTGTCTCAGACGAAGGTGGTCCCCAAAAATAAGACCAAGTCTTATATTAATTTTTGCTCCAAAAAAGGCATGTGGGCTTATTTTCAGGGGATGTTTTATTTTACAGTCATGTCATCTTCTGGTTGCTGAACAAGGGTGGAGGGCGGGGGTTTCACTTAACTGGGGTTTATTTTAGGGGTAGAGCTTATATGACGAGCATCCTAGAAAATCATACTAGGGCTTATTTTCAGGTTAGGTCTTATTTTTGGGGAAACAGGGTAGATAGTGTTCAGCTGTAGAAAATAGAAACGGACTGTGCGGTTTCAGATTGCAGGACAAGATCCCAATGATGCTACAGCAGGATAGAGTAGGACTGAGCCCTCTGAAATATTTGAGTGAGAGCTACGGACCTTGGAATTAATGACTTCCTTGTCCACAGACCTTCAAGCCGTTTCGGGGTCCCCTCCTTCTGTTTTTCCAGCATCAAGCAGGGACCTTAAGTTACGTCAGTGTTTGAAATCCTGTCGACCCTGGACCACTTGTGACCTCTAATCTAGTCTCTCCCCCCTTTTTTTTAGAGGGACCTTGGCTCCCCCCAAAATATCCCACTGAGAAATTATTTCCAGCAAAAAAAAAAAAGTTTAAAAAGGGAGAATTACTCATTTTGGGACCCTCAAGAGTAAGAGGCAGCCCCCTCCCCCCGGGCATGTGTAGTTTTCAGCAAAGGGGTGGGGAGAGGGAAGGGTGTCCTGGCAGGGAGGTAGCGGGACATCAGCAGCAGCATTTTAGGGCATTGGGTTTCCTGACCACGCTTGTTCCAGCTACGAGAAATGGAAAAAACGGAACCGGATCGACGAGCAGGACTCTGATTTGGAGACCGAAGGGGAGCCAAGCGTGGGGAAGAAAAGGCGAGGCAGAGGTAAGTGCAGGAGCCCCTCGGGCAGCCGTCCATCCCTCCCTCTGATCCTCGGAAGAGCTGTTCCCAGTATCCAGGAAAAAGGCAGTGGGGTGGATCCACTAGCAGAGTCTTTGAGTGTTTCAGAATTTGCCTGTTGGAATGAACGGTGGCAATCACACTAATTACATTCACATCCCGCCTTTTCTGCGACTAACGTAAGGCAGCGGACGTAGTTCTCCCTCCTCGTTTTGTCCTGACCACAGCTCTGTGAGGTAGGCCAGGGTTGGCTGGTTTAGCATCCTCCCCCAGGGGGCTCCCTGGGGGCTGGAACTGTTGTTGGATTTGCAAGAAAATTAGATTTGGGCAAAGTGCCATCCTCTTGGGGGGGGTGTCTGCCAGTGATCTACCACTCTGCCACCGTCTGCCATGACT